TAGGCCTAAGGCTTGTTAGAATAATAATGTACGTATTTCACATTATGCCCATATTACACATTTCACAGGAATGTTCTCTCTGTTAATATTAATGACTACATAAAAATCTGGGCAAAGGTGTGGCTAATGTCTGATCAAAAAGTGGTATATACTAGGACCTTCAGGACAGCCATTAAGGCTGAGGAAAAGAACTCTAAAAACATGAGTTCAAAAATACATAATTTTTCAACTATGCAAAGAATAAGGACACAATATGAATTATATGAGAGGCTTCATGAATCTAAAGGAACAAAGGCAGCTGCATTAATGAGCCAGCTTGTCAGAAAGATACAAAGCCAGGCAGATGCCTGAGTTTAAGATCAACCCAGGACACAGCAAAGTTAGGCCCAAGTATGGTAGAAATGCTAATTTCAGGGCAGGGTCCCACCCAGCTAGCTCACTTAACAGGCAGGCAGATCTCTGAATTCTTTTGCAATGTTTAAAGAAAATGTATGCTTGCTGTCTCCTAAGAATTAAGGGTCTGGGGCCACCAGATGCTGGCTCATAGGATAATCAAAAGGAAACCTAGAGTAAATTACTGGACTGATATGTAAAATAAAAAGACTGAGCTTATAGCCTGCAGTAAATGTGGTACATTTACACAATGGAGTACTACTCAGCTATTAAAAACAATGACTTCATTAAATTTGCAGGCAAATGGATGGAACCAGAAAATATCATCCTGAGTGAGGTAACTGAGACACAAAAAAAATTACATGATTTTTACTTACTGATAAGCAGATATTTGCCCCAAAACTGAGAATACCCATGATACAACCCACAGAACATATGGAGCTCAAGAAGAAGGAAGACCAAAGTGTGGATACTTTAATCCTATGTATAAAGGGAAACAAAATAATCACAGGAGGTAGAGGGAAGGAGGGGCCTGGGAGGGAGAGAGAAGGGGTAGGGAAAAGGAGTCAGGATCAGGTATTGAAAAGGACAGGGAAGAAGTACAGAAGGTCAGGAAATTGAACAGGAATATGTAGTTGGGGAGGTGGGGGAGTGGATAGGGAAATGGGGGGTAGCCCAGTTCTGGGGTAGAAAGTCCCAGAAGCCAGGGAAGTGAGAGGCTTCCAGGACCTAACAGGAATGACTTTAGCAGAAATATCCAACAAAGAAGAGATAGAACGTGTAGATACCACTTCCAGTAAATAGGCATGGACCCATGGGCATGCGGTCCATACCTATTTACTGATGGGTCCATGCCTATTTACTGGAAGTGGTATCTACACATTCTATCTCTTGAGGGATGGAGTCACCCACCCATCTCAAAAAATATTAACCCAGAAATGTTTCTGTCCAAGGAAAGAGAGGGTCAACAATTGGAACAGAGACTGAAGGAAAGGCCATCCAGGTACTGCCCCGTCTAGAATTCTATCCCATTTGCAGACATCAAATCCCTACTCTATTGCTTGCTGACAGGAGGCTGCAAAGGCTCTTCCTTGAGAGTTTCTACCAGCACCTGACCAATAAAGATGCAAAAATTACAGTCAACCATTGGACTGAGTCCAAGGACCCCAATGGAAGAGCTAGAGGAAGGACTGAAGAAGCTGAAGGGGATTCCAACCCCATAGGAAGGACAATATCAACTAACTGGACCCCCCACACACACCCTGAGCTCCCAGGGACTAAACCATCAACCAAAGAGTACCCATGGAGGGATCCATGGCTCCAGATACATATGTAGCAGAGAATGGACTTATGAATGGGAGGGGAGGTCCTTGGTCCTGTGGAGGCTTGACGCCCCAGCATAGGGGGATGTTAGAGTAGTGAGGCAGGAGTGAGTGGGTGGGTGGAGGAGCACCCTCATAGAGGCAAGGGGGGGAGAGGAGGGATGGGATGGGGGGTTTGTGGAGGGTTAACCTTGAATGAGGATATCATTTGAAATGTAGTCAAATAAAATTATTAATAATAAAAAAATCTCATTAGTGAAGCCAGGCATGGCTTTACTAATGGGATTAAAGGTTCATATAACTTTAATTCCAGCACTCAGGAGGAAGAGATAAGCAGATCTCTGTGAGTTTGAGGCCAGCCTGATCTACAAAGCAAGTTCCAGGACAGCCAGGGCTACACAAAGAAAACTTGTCTCAAAAAAAAATAAAAATCAACACAACACAAAAACAAATGGGAGTTGATGACTCAAGAACTGCTGAATCTAGCACATGAGGAACTGAGGTGGTGAGGGATTACTTGACTTTTCCAATGTTGGGGAAATTAAAGGGGTAGAAATTAGAAGCCCAGCACTCTACACAATGTGAAAATTGTTCACTTACATGGAAATGTTGTGTCTCTATTGAGATCTCATGTTATTTACAGTTTGTTGATCACATATATTTCTTCTTTACTAAACTGACTTTTTGTTTGCTTTCCAGGGTTTTTGTGGAATATTCATGGTTCACAGGTCTATAAGTGTTTTTATTCTTTATTTCTAAGCTATCCCTCATCACCAACTGGTCGAAAGACTCATCTTTGATGATTCTTTCTGCCAGCCTTGAGGGATAGAAATTATAACATTACTTTTAATACAAACTTTTTTATTTCAAATTCCATTTTTTTGTTTTAGAGATCTGACTTTTATTTAGTTATTCACTTATTTATTCTGTGAATTCCACATATCAGAAAAAATATACTTGGTTTTGGTTTTGATGTCAGCAATAGAAAGAGCCTATCTGGTAATGTATATGAAATGTGTCAGTGTAAAATTTTAATGCTTTCTACTTTCAATTCTATTATATTAAATATTTTTGTACAAGTTAAGGTAGAAATTTCACAATATAATTCCCCAAAAGAGTACTGAATAAATGAGCAGTATTTCCTTGCTGGTCTGAATGGCCCCACACACATATGCATGAATTACTCTATGGATTTTCCATTGTGTTCCATTGAAGTTTCTATCTTCACATTCTCACATTGGCCTTCCTCCATTGCTGCTGGGCTTATGGTTCTGGTGTAATAGGACTTTTTTTTTAACTTTATTTTATGAGTAGCATAATCTACATAAAGAGAAGACGCACAGTGGTGACAGGGACCTGTAGCAATGACTCATGATTATTCCCACAGTCTTGAAGCAGTTGCCTGAAATCTTTGCTTCTGAAAACCTGATAACCCCACTTTGGCACTTCTAACCTAGAAGAATTTATCGTTTTTAACTTTTTATTGGTTCTTTGTCAATTTCACATCATGCATCCCAATCCCACTTATCTTTTTGTTCTTTTGTATCCACCCTCTCCCCATGCAACCTTGCCCACAAAAGAAAACAAAAATCCCATTGTGGAAACTGTAGTGCTCTCAGTGTCTGGGGTCATCTCAGGAGTGCTATGATCCTCCAGTGTGACAATGGGCAAAGGTTGTAGCAAGCTTGCGGCCACCCCCAACCTCCCACTGAGCCACATGACATTGCACCTGGCTAAGTATTATCTCTGGTTTACTCTGCTTGCCTGAGCTACATGGTAAAGAAAATTCCTTTCACTCTGATTGATAAGAATTTCCCCTTCTTTAGTTTTAACTCTGAGCCTCCTGTCCTAGCAGGGCGCTTTCAGGCTCCAAGACAGTAGAACTTGTGAGAACCTGAAAATTTATCCTACATATGTACTCCCTCTCCCAACCAAGGCCTCTGATCTCAGAACTGCTTCTAGGGAAGCTTTCCATCCTTGCGCTTTTGACCTGAGCCCAGAAACAAAACAACTGGCCACAAGCATTCTGATTAGCTACATTCCATTGTACTGGAAAGTGAATTACCTAATAGAGGCCCAAAAGAAACTAGAATAGATATTGTCCTGCATTTAATCATAAACTTTAAAAATATTTATTTCATGTTTATGTGTGTGTTTGTGTGTGCCCAGGTGATTGCATGTGTAGCATATTGTGCAAGAGCCTGCATTTTATTCTCTATAACTGGAGTTACAGATAGCTGTGAGCTACCACATAGGTGCTGAGAGTCAAACCTGATTCCTGTGCAAGAGTAGGAGGTCCTCTTAAGGACTGAGCCATTTCTCTGGCTCCACAAGACTTTTATCTTTTTATGTTAGTACTGCTGTTGAATCCAGTGTCTTGTACATTTTAGGTATGTGCTCTACCACTGAGATACATACATGTCCTTTCACATTTTGTTTTGAGACAATATCTTACTAGGTTGCCTAGAATGACCTTGAATTTACTACTTAAACCAAGCTGATCTCTCACTTGGAAAACACCTGTATCAGCCTTCTTGGAACTAAGATTACACTCATACTCACCAATTCCAGCAAAAGTTTCTAACGAGTTGATTCGTGTACAAATGCGCTCTCTCTCTCTCTCTCTCTCTCTCTCTCTCTCTCTCTCTCTCTCTCTTTCTCTCTCTGTCTCTCTCTCTCTGTCTGTCTCTCTCTGTCTGTCTCTCTCTGTCTGTCTGTCTCTGTCTGTCTCTGTCTGTCTCTGTCTGTCTGTCTGTCTGTCTGTCTGTCTCTCTCTCTCTCTCTCACACACACACACACACACACACACACACACACACCTATTCTTTTAGGGGGGCTCAGATGCAGCCATCAACATTGAACCTAGTTTCTTTTAATATATTGGATTTAAGCCTTAACAGGTTTGCTGTTGGCAGTTATCCCAATATCCACTAACATGTGTAACTGAAGTTGGCTCAGAAGACTTCTCAGGACAAGACCACAGCAACGTTCACATATGGAGACTCTGAGTTGCAGGGATTTCCCATACAGTAGGGCAGGCAATGTCCATATACCATTGTCCCCAAATGTGCATGCCCCAGTTTCTCTACACTTGCTCACTTTTCTGAGTAGTCTCTGCTCTCAGTCACCTCAAGAGGGTGCCAAATACAAACAGATGGTCAGAGAGGGGTGGCTGTTCCCAGACACGCACCCCTCCCATTGGACAGCTGGTTGATTCGAAGAGAGCATTTTAGCTTAAGTCTCTCTGCCTGTCACTCAGTCAGCAAGACCAGCTTTGAATCACAAGTTTGGGGATTAGTGTGTAAGAGGGTAGTTGGGTTGTCTTGTCTTGTCTTGTCTTGTCTTGTCTTGTCTTGTCTTGTCTTGTCTTGTCTTGTCTTGTCTTGTCTTGTCTTGTCTTGTCTTGCTGCACCTAGCCTTACACAGTTCACAGAGCACAAAATATGCTGTGGGTTCTGGCCCTACTTCTAGTTTTTTTGCCTGCTGGTAAGTATATGGCATAGGTGCTCATGAAATTTCATTTGTCGGTGGGAAGCCATGCTGATGAATTGCTAACCTACTATTCTCTGTTGCTGTTACCACTGTAGGCAGACAAACATCCTCCAATTTGGAAGAAAGAATAATGTCAATCACCAGGCCAGTGGGGTCCTCTGTTATAATCACTTGTGATATTCACAGAACAGGCAATTACATCCACTGGTACCGATTCCAGAAAGGGAAAGTCCCACAGCACCTTCTCTACTACAACTTCATCAGTTCCACAGCTTTGGTGGATTCCAGGCTCGATGCAAAGAAATATCATGTTTATGAAGGCACAGAGAAGAGTTATAAATTTGTACTACGGTATGTGGAGGAATACGATTCTGGTCTGTATTACTGTGCCACGTGGGCTGGCACAATGTTTCAGCCCCACCCTTATCTGTACTGAAAAATTAGCTTGCAGCTGTTCCTAATGCAAACCAATTCCCACCTCACTTCTTACATCTGACTTCCTCTATTCTGAAAAGGAAATTCTGGACCCCAGGCCTTATCTTTACCTTGTAACAATCCAATTTCCCTCTGACCAGCTGTACCCTGGCCCCTAACATTACCACTGAACATTTCAGCAGATCAATTTTCTATCTTTAAACCTTGACTAAGAACCCTTGCTGAAAATATAATACTTCCAATTCTCCTAGGGGCTGCTGTTGGCAGTTTAGAATATAGCAATTTGCTTAGTATTGGTATTTGTTACAAGATGTTTACTTAAGTGAGCAGTTTGGGAAAATTGGTTATGGTGATTCGTGTGTATAAACATGGTACAGAGAAAATGAAACAGCCAGTAACTTTTCATTATTTAGAGTCTGTGAAATGGGAGAGTAAAAACTTTGGGTTCCCAAAGACTCCATGTTGATGTACACTCTACCTTTTGAACAAACTGATTTTTTCTTCACAATGACACCCACTGTTTGGATGATAAATAAGGAAATTTTTGCATGTAAATACGACAACTATTGTAGCTACTTAAAGAATACAACTTTAGCACGTTAAATTTCAAAGATTAACTATAGCATTATTAAATATAAAATATAAATGATAATTATTATTGTTGTTCTCACTGTCTTAATTTCCTAGATGTTTTGGAGTTAAAGATTTGAGTTCTTATGTCACTCGGTAACTGATATTTGAGCCCAGTTTGAACTGAAAACTTCATTGCTTTGATTGCAAAGTGATGAGCTAAAGTGAATGAATAAACTAGCCCCCAAATCCTTCTTCTGCAAACGCTTTGGGGAGAAATAGATAATGTGTTTTACCATTGCATGATTGGTTTCATTACCTGCTTGCTACCTTGGGCTGTGCTCTCCCGAGTGATGTGAGATCATACAGATGAACTGAATTCAGTACTTATGTAGCAACTGTCTATAGAAAGATTTATTGTCCGCTAAGACTCTAAGAACTGTAACTTTTTTCCCCAAAGGAACAAAAGACACAGCAAGAGCAGTGTTTTTTTACCAACAGCAGAGCATCAAGGTGGGTCACTAAGATATGTTCAAGAATCCCATCTTTGATGCTGCTCGTTTGCTCTCATTCCTCTGGATGCACAGAAACATCATTGAGGCAGATGCAAATCAGGCTCAGAGTTTAACTAGACCACACTGTTGCCTATGACTACCCTGTGAAAATTTTGCACATGGCCATGTAAAGATGATCTGGCATGGGCTAAGTAGATATCAGACTTTGAAACATACATTCCTCTGCTTATGTACATAAAATCATATTCTTGCATGCGTATGTGTGTATATTTGCACATTTACACGTGTGTGAGCATTCATGTACTTGTGTGTGCTCATTCCTGACACATAGCCTTGTTGAAATTGTGAGGAAGGTTAGTGTTAAGTAGATTTGTTGTCAAATATTCAAATACTCAAATGAAATGTGTGGGAAAAATAACATTCCAAGCTTTCAAATATTATTTATGTTATCTCTTATTTTTATGTCCCATTACAGGTGATTGTGAGCTACCATGTGGTTGCTGGGAATTGAACTCAGGACCTCTGGAAGAGCAGTCAGTGCTCTTAACCACTGAGCTATCTCTCCAGCCTATTTTTTTTAATTTTTAAATGCAGTTTTGTATTAATTATTTTTACCACCCCCTACAGTTTGAGGGGGTGTGCGGTTTCTAGTCCTGAGGTATGAGGAGGGAGATATGCTTTGAACTATGGCATGTTTAGTTGAGTCATGGCCATTATCCAGTGGATGACAATATGACTTCACCCTTCTGTGACAAATTAAAATGTCTGTAAACATGGCCAGTGTTTCCAGGGGAGATGGCCTCCAGCTGAGAACCACTGTTTTAGCCATGTGTTTAGGAAGAGGTACATAAATTGTCCTGAGGTCTTAGCTCAGATGGGGACAAAATGAGATTCCTGATGAACAACCAGCATGTAAAATTTAACCCTCACTAATAACATCCTTTAATCTTGCCAACACCTCTTTCTTTGAAAGAGGTTGCATAATAATTCAGTCATTGAACATATAGCACTGATGTTTACGGACCAGCTGTTTCTTATTACTTCCATATCCTTACCCTACTTTCTGCTATGTTCAGCTATGTTAGAGATGCTTAAACACTTCTGTGGAATCAAGTAGAATTCTTTCCTTCTACAGAGTTCTTTATATTTATTGTTTGTCGTGGATAATTCATTTTATGGATCATATTGCAATAACAAATAAAATGTTAAAATCAAAACCATGATCTTTTGTTTGATTGTTTAAAAGATTTCAAAAGTCATGAAATCAAGCAGAAAGATAATCCCAGGGGGAATGATGAATCTCAGACCTGTTTCTTTAATACTAAGTCACATGGTGTATAGAAGGGAGCATGCTGTGTCCTGCTTCTTGGATGTAGCCTGACCTCGAAAACTAAATAAAAATCTCTACCCGTTAGCCTCTAGTTATGGAAGGGGGATAGCAGGACGCATGGCAACTCGTAACTCAGAGTGCTCACATCATTTACCTCCTTTCCTATACCTCCTGTTGAAGAGCGGCAGCTCACGGCTCATATGGTGATGCCTGAGGTAGATTTGTGGTATCCTTTTATATGACCTTAGTTTTTGGCTCAAGTATTATTGATAGCATCTTGTGTGGGAAAAAGCACTATGGAATGTTCAGTCCTGGTAGATGCTTAGAATGGTGCTATCTCATGGCCAAGGTTCTGAGGTTGGCCAAGTCCATTCTCTTCTAGAGACACCTTCACACTAGACCTCAGCAAAGACTGTAGGGAAAGAAATGGTTTCAATGTGTGCGTATATAATGTGTGCGTTGTGTGTGTCTCAAAGTATTAATCATTAAAATCAATAAAATAATAATGTTGATGAAGGATCCATGCTTAAACTTTCTAAGACCAGACAAGGTAACAACTTTTGTAACATCTGTCTTAATAAATGTCTGATGTCGTAGAGAACTAGGTAAACTGACCGGTTAGCACTCTTGGGACTGGCTGCTCTGGATGTATTTGTTTTCTTCCTAAACACTATAGCATCTAACTCCTGTTACCTTATCCTGACTTGACACCTTCTCCTGCAGGTACCCTGACACCCCATGTTTCTCCTTTGACACAGAACCCATGCAAGTGTTTATTTGTTTTTCAATTAGTGAGTTTGTTCATCTATTTCTAAGATTAGTTGATGGATACTTCTAAATGATATGTGGCGTTTTGTAATCTCATAACATTATTCTTTTGTTTGAATTAGAAATTGAATACAAGTGAACTGAGTGAACCCATTACACTGCAGAGAGGAAGCATGTATTTTCTCTGCAGGTTATCCACTATCCAAGGTCACTTACAGGTAAAGAGCAACAAATGTGAGGCATGTAAAACCCTTCTTTGGTCCTTAATACAAATTTCATGGAAAAACGAAATGTGATGACATAGTGGTCCCAGGAACCTACTGTGATTAGAACTATAGTAACGAGCACATACATGCTCGGCATGTCTGCAACCACTTCCTTCCTGACAAAGAGCAACCTAGTCCAGCCCTGAGCCCTGCTCAACCTCAATCCCCACCTGCAGCACTTCTAACAAGGGAAACCAGAAAGGGGGTCTGATGGCTATCGACTGTGCCCCACAGAATCCAGGAACTGTGGCCCCACTTTCTGGGTCAGCAAAATTTCCTGTTCACTTTGCTTAGACATTAAATGTTAATTATTGTCTCTCTCTTTGAAAAAGCAAGATCCACTGTTTCAGTTCCCATGGCTTTCCACTAATGCTGGATCTTGGTAGAGGTGCCGAGAAGGAACGTGAGCAATGAATGTATTTTCAGCTTCCATCAGATCTCACGTTATACAGTGTATTTTCTATCTTCTTAGAATCTAACTTGATCAACAGATCAATAGAGTCAGACAACCTACAGAAGCATAACTACTGATCTGTTGTACCACCAAAGAAACGAAAGTTTGGACAATTGAAGCAAACAAACAAAGATAAAACTTCCTGTTTTCTGAACTAAGGCAGTAAGGTCACATGTAGAAATGTAAGGACTGCAATTCTGGAAGTGAATGATAGGATTATTTGCAGCATATTACAATGGAAGAAGAATCTTTTACTGGGAATTGGAGTAGGGAAATCTTTCAAGATGCTATCATCCAAAGACAACTGGGACCACTTCAACCGTTGGTAAACTCACATCCTTGCATGCTTGTCAAAGACAAGAGGGAAGTTGTTAGAGGATAGCTAAACCTATGTGTAGGTTCTCTACTGGTGTTCTCAATCCTTTGTGTATATCAGTTCCTTAAAGCCACGCCACCTAAAAATCTATTCTCGTTTTCTTGTCAAATGTATCAGATTCAGAAAATAAATGAAACATTAATCAGTCCAGGCATTTATCCAGGCAAGAATCCATGACAGACCAGGGTAGAGATTCAGTTAATGTGCCTCTTTTTGGTTATTATTATAAACTGTTTCATTTTTGGGAGGGCATAAAAGAATCAAATAATTGCTTCTATTCTTTAGAGGATGCATACCATAGTGTAACATTTCTTGATGCTGTTTTTATTTTATTGATACTTTTATTTTATTTATTGATATTATCACTGTAAGTTGAAGCAATGCTCAAGATTTGAATAATTACATGTTTTTATAGAATAAACAATATGCCAACAAATCCTAAATTAAATTTTTTCATATAAAACAACTCAGAATCCTTGTCTTTTTTTATTTTTAACGATAGTGTTTGTAGTAGTCTTCAAGAAGTAACATGTCTTTATTTTCTGTACCTACTTTTCATCTTAATCTTCAAATTTACATCAACAGGTTCATTGTTGCTTTTCCTTGTGTCAAGGACTCATCATTTGTTGGTTTATTTGAGACCTGTTTGGGGGAGTAGCAAGAAATTTGCAAGGTAGGCAAACACAGGAAGAATGTTTTATAGACATATAACATATGATTAAACATAGGACATAAACATACACATATGATTTATCCATTTTCGCCTATCTCTATTTAAAGAGTAATTATTTATAAAGAAATTGGTGTTTTAATTTATTCTATATACACTTTATAATTTTACTTGTTCTTAAAAGAGATATTGTAGTTTTGCAAAAAGTAATCAGTAATGTTATCTTCTGTTGTTTGATAAGAGTTAATGACGTCACTAAAAACTTACAATGTACAGGGCAGGCATATCTGAGCATCTAATGCAATGCATTTGTGTGACACAGCACTATAAATCTCCTAACATTTCAAAAAAATATATAAAGAGGCTAGGTTCACATGGAGAAATCAAACCAGAGAAATATTAATTACCTCAGCTAGTTTTCTACAAGATTGTGATCTACAGGAGGGCATTTAATTGCCACTGGTTCTTTAAAATGATGTTCAGATAAATATAAAGATGGAAACTATTCCACACAACTGGAAAATCAGAATGAAATTTAAAGTCAATTATTTGTATCTCACTTAAAGTTATGTGTATATATACACAAATATAAATGATACTGAACAGCCTTATTTCTATTAATAAATACAAAATAAGTACAAAAATTCAAACTATTTTGATGGTATTATTTGTCAAACAGAGATGCTCATAAGACCCACCCTGAAAGGCCTTAGAAAACGTATACTTAAATAATATAAGATACTAAACTAACCATAAAGTTCCCATTACATATTGAACTTAATACTGATTTTAAAATGCTTCTGCCCTGACATTTGCTCATGGAAAGTTCTATTACTCAGAGAAAATAATCTAATTTCCACAGCTATTCTGTCTCACATCCCCCAGTAACTGTCATCTGACTTATTCTTAAAGGGACTAGAAGTATAAGTGAGTTGACCGCCATCCCCCCCCAGGACAATTTACTTAGTGATACTCAATTGATTTAAAAAAAACCATACCAAGTATCCAGTGCTTATGCAATTGGCATGTTAAGTAAAGTCAGCAAACCATTTCAAAGACCAATTTGTCATTGTTAGACAATTAAGGTCAGTTGTTTGTTTGTTTCCTCAGGGCTGAACATACAGCAAATCATGGAAGATTAGACATGGAAAAAGCATAGCAGGTATGTCTCCAGAGCTCAGAACAGCTTCTCTGCAGTGAGCAACAGAAGTGGGAAAGGAGGAGGAGGCTGCACTCATGCTGCCACACCCCGAGAACAGCAACAACTTAGGCACTGATCTGACCAGGCTGTGTTGGCCAGGAAACCCAGAACCGCTCATAACTACAACAGACCATGAAGAACCCTGGCTTACAAGCTCTGCTTCCTTTACATCTTCCCTGGGAAGCCCGTCTGGCAGATGGGAATCCACTCCTGAAAGTGGTCATTTTCTCCTGTCTCTTGACAGGTGAGTTGCCACTGTCAGGTCCCTGTGCAGCAGAGAATGAAGTCAGTCCACACTGGTGCTTCTTCCCCTGACAGTAATTCATGGGTAGTTTTCTCTTTTGCTTGCAGTTGGACATGGGAAGTTGGAGCAACCTGAAATATCAATATCCAGAGCAAGAGATGAGACTGTCCAAATATCCTGTAAGGTTTTCATCGAAAGCTTTAAAAGTGTAACCATACACTGGTACCGGCAGAAACCAAACCAAGGTTTAGAGTTTCTGTTATATGTCCTCGCAAACCCTACCCATATTTTCTTAGATAAGGAGTACAAGAAAATGGAGGCAAGCAAAAATTCTAGTGCTTCTACATCGACATTAACAATATATTCCCTGGAAGAAGAAGACGAAGCTATCTACTACTGTTCCTACGGCTAAAGCACAGCGTTTGAGATTCCAGAATAGCCTACACAAGAACCATCCCCTGAGCCTGTGTTCCAACCCACATCCTTCTCGGTATGGGCAGCCACCTGCTGCTCAGCTAGGGACCCCCCTGAGCCTTGAACCACCTGTATCACTCCTTACAACACTTTTAGAGCTTCCCATGCAACGGACGTGGATTCTCCTATTCAAACAAAGCTTCAGGACTATATTGCCATCGAAGACTGGCTGACACTGTTTCCTGCTGAATGAGAACATCTGGGACGCATTCAGCACAGGATGGCAGGCTCACTACATGATTGGGTTCTTTTTTAGCTATGCAGAAGTTTCCTATAACTGAGTTTATAAGGAAGGCAAGATAGAATTGTATCAAAAGAGGGGTGTAACTATTTCAAATATAATGGATTTTATGCATGATCATCGGGGCTTTCAGAGGTTGAAATGATGCCTATTATCAGTATTCTAAGATCTTTCTGGAAAAAATGGCTATAAGAGGCAATCCTCTTCCTTCCTGATATGACAACAAAAGAGAATCCTGCAGGTAGGATGCAGCTCAGTGCCACTCAGAACAAATCTGGGACAAAGCATGAACTGCTCTTGGAAAGTACTTTAACTCAGTACTGCAGAGTTCTGTAAAAAAAACAAAAAATGTAAACCTGCATAAAAACTTCAATGACTAGAAATGAAAAATAATACCTGCTCCTTTCACCAACAGAAAAAAAAAACAACCATCACTCATAAATTGGAAAAGCAAAAAGTAAAATCATTGACAATTATTTTACATGCTTATTTTCTCATTTCTATTTGGATGATTGGGAACATTTAAAAGATAGATGTTGGGACAAGACATTAATTGTAAAAACATAAAAATTTAGGGCCCACCTTCTTCAATATTAGTGAGGAAAAATTCTTCCTGTAGAATATTTTTGTACCGATGAAGTTAACAATATAGCATCTCCCAGTACACTAGTCATTCAATGCAGTTTATCTATAGTCTCTGAAATATCCACAATGCTCTGATCTATTTCTTCCCTCTAAGGACCAGGTTGAATGATTAAATAGAGATGTCACTGACAGTTGAATGAGAGATCACTTAGATGCTCTAAGCACCTTCCCAGGGACACTTAGCACCTTGGTGCCACGCCCTGTACATAATGGTTTCTGAACATGGTGTTCTACAGTGAGAACGAGGAGAGTGCCCAAATCTCAGTGGACATTGCTTCTCACCTAATGTGTGCATAAACACAATTGTAAGGAGACTGTAGAAAAACAGACAGTCCAAGGATAAGGACCCAGCTAGAAAGAAATGGACAAAAGGCCAGAATTAAGCTTCAGATACTCTATGAGCTAAGTGCTTGATGTAGATGACTTCACTCAGTTCTCAGAGGAACAGTGGAAAGTGCCACAGCCTGAACTTTCAGACAGACTCCTGGGATGGAAACTTGATAGATGCTGAAATGATGCAGAAGAGAGAAGGGGGTACCTTATCTGTGATTGTTAAACAGTCTTTAAAGAATTGTTAACAAAATGAAAAACACTCAGTACTTTGTAGTAGTGGATGAAAGAGGCCTTAGAGGCCAAAGGAAGAAAAAAAGGGGAAAACGACTTGTATAGGTCAATGCTCATGTGTGTATACGTGCAGGCTGCTCACATGTGGAAGTGCATACTGATCCTATCTCTCCTGTAGCCCTTTCTTTCTGCCTCCCTTTAAATTCTAATCTCATTATAAACTCCCTAGTAGTTTAAAGCACCCACTCCAAGTGTATATTGCTACAGATAGAAGACAAAGAAGACAAAACTTTGTGAAAGTCTCAACCTTGTGACCTTGGCAGTTCTCTGGCTTTTGCCCAGCCCATAAACTTGTTCTGCAGATAAAGGTTGGTTCAGATATAGCTTTCAATTACTTACATGCTACCTAAAGATGAAGCTGCAGTGAGCAGCCCAGGTGAGTGGTTGTAACTGATGCTCACACAGCCTAAGGCAGTTATTAGTTGGCACTTTAAAAACATACATTTGTTGCAGCTAAGTCTGTAGCTCAGTTGGTAGAGTGCTTGCCCAGTGCAAGGCCCTGGATTTCCTCCACAGTATTACATAAACCAGATATGATGGCTTCTGTACCTATAATTCCAATACTTGAAATGCATCAAGCCTGTCATAAGTAAATAAATACAATAGATGTGTTTATTGCTCCCAGTGATTGCTAACTGATGAATGATACTTATGGTTATTTTAATTTGTTTTTCTGTGTGTCACCATTTTCTTAATGGCCCTTTGTTATACTTCCAACCTTTCCATATGAGTTGTTTCACTTTGGGTAAATTACTTCACCCATCTTTGACCTACTCTCTTAATTTTAAATTGATAATATCATAAAATTAACTTGAGGGAACTGTGGCAAGGACCATCTTAAATAATAGACAATAGTTTTAAAAGTACATAGGCTTTGCATTTGACGAATGTTCACCAACTGGAACTGATCACATTGGCGATATTACATATCAGAAAATATAATTGTTATTTTTTGATTCATATTCGGAGACCTTGTCATCAGCAGCAGGTGATTTCCAGAACCTCTTTGGGCATGAAAAAAAAAAGTCTTAGTCTAGTGTTACTGAGTCTGAATCTTATTTCCCAAGGATCTCTGGGATACTTAAAATCTGAGTCATGGAAGTTTAGAAAGTGATCCCATTTGCACATAGCAGCTGATCTGGTGTCTTCTTTGACTCCTTGATAGAAATGGTAGATGACTACTTGTTTTCTCTGTACTCAAATGCACAGAAAGTTTCTAACCAATGCATGTACAATGTAGCGTGCTACCCACATATATGTATTTTTACTTTCTTTGTAAGATTGATTAGAGTCAGTGAAAATTTTCAAGAGCTACCTTATTTCCTAGAAAACAAGTTTCCTTCACTAACTTGAGGTTTTTATTCACAGTTAATCCACTGGAAGATTAGTGTCTGCTTTGGGCACAAAATGCTTGTCTTCTTATCACTAGCTTCAAAGTGCTAATGGGAAACAGTAGAAATCAGTTGGAGGGGTGGAAGCAACATTGTCTCCATCATGACCTACTCCTCACACCCCAAGCATGCTGTGGACCAACGACTGCACTCCCTGACAAGGCAGATTTGTAACATTTCCAGAGAGAGAGACTGTGTTACAGACATCTCACATCCCTCATTCAGGTTTGCTATTTTCCAGAGGTGTACTGGGATTGGGCAATCTTACATGATGACCTCTCCATCCAGGTCTGACCTCTGGGCTCATGTGTATGAATCTGATCCTGTTACTATGCTGCCCAGAACCACCACTTACGGTGCAAAGATGAGTGTATTATCTTTTCCTTTTCAAACATGTACTCATTTATAATAACGAGGAATAGGCCTGATAGAGCCACTTCAATGTGCACATTTAATGGTAGCATTCAAAATCAGAACAAGAAAGGCACTTCCTTTGTCTAGATTACCTAGAAGACACTGTTGATCATAACTCAGCAAGTTCTCCTCATGCACCAAACCAGTGCTCAAAAAACCAAGATAATATACCAGGGTGATAATGATGGGGCTGGAGAGATGGCTCAGTGGTTAAGAGCACTGAGTGCTCTTCCAGAGGTCCTGAGTTCAATTCCCAGCAAACACATGGTGGCTCACAACCATCTGTAATGGGATCTGATGCCCTCTTCTGGTGTGTCTGAAGACAGAGACAGTGTACTCATATATATAAAATAAATAATTCTAAAAAAAAAAATCCAAAAAAAAAAAAAGCCAAGCGGTGGTGGCACACACCTTTAATCCCAGAGTTTGGGAGGCAGAGGCATGTGGATTTCTGAGTTCGAGGCCAGCCCAGTCTACAGAGTGAGTTTCAGGACAGCTAAGGCTATACAGAGAAACCCTGTCTCGAAAAATAAAACAAAACAAAACAAAATAATGAGCAATCAACAATTCTCATGATATATGCTGGAAAAAATAGTTTTAGTCCTTCCTCCTCTCCTCCCCTCCCTCCCCTCCCCTTTTCTTCTCCTCCCATCTCTTCTCCACCTCATCTCTCTTTTCTCTGTTTATGACTCTCTCTCTTTCTCTCTCTCTCTCTCTCTCTCTCTCTCTCTTTCTTTCTTTCTTTCTCCTTTTCTCTCTTGTCTGTACGTCTCCCTCTCATGCATCATTAAGTCTGTTTGTATTTTAGGAGTAACTCAATAAAGAATGTTAATCTTTCAACAAGACAATCATTTCTTACCAGAAAGGAAGAAAAGAAAATTCTCTCTCATAAACGCAACTTTAAAAATGTCAACCTGAAGCCGAAATCACAATTCACAGGGCTTGAGAAGAGCAGAGTGAACACTCTGCATGTGAAGTATTTCCACACTTCATTGATACATACAATGGAGGCATGCTAACAGGACAAGAAACTGCTTATCTAAATTGACAGTTCGTAAACATCTTTCATAGGGATAATGGAGGCATTTGTTGATAACTGAGTCAGGTAAACCAATTTCCACAGGAAGTCATGGTGAAACACCATGCCCTGATCTTCAGTCTGCAGAATCTCACTTCCTCTTCCTGTGCTAGTCTCTATTTTGTTCCTGTGTAAATTTAGTATTCAGTGACTCTCTGGACAGAGGCTGTAAAATGTGGCTTCTGCTGCAAATCTTCACACTGGCCTCCCTCAGGATTTGTGAGTACATGTTCTTCACTCAAGGGAACAGAGGATTCAGAAAAAAGGGATAGTTAGGTCATACCACATCCACAGGGAGGATGATCACACAGCTGTTCAATTTGAGCCAACAAATTATACTATGATGCTGAACCCCTCAATGAACATGTACAGGAGGAGGGAACCCACAAAACCCAGAGAGCGATTTGAATTGAACAACAAATGTGTATTGTTTAATGAAATTCAAAATTCACAATTTTGAAAGTTTTTCAAAGCTTTAGCTTTTGTTATATTTCAGATTCAGGAGGAAGCATTCTCACATCACCTATGGTGTCATATGTCATCAAGAGAAAAGGAAATACAGCGTTTCTCAAATGCCAAATACAAACAAACGTTCTGAAGAGCGATAAATATATACACTGGTACCAACAGAAGCCAGAACAGCCACTCCAAAGAATGCTATGTATTTCTTCAAAAGAAAATATTGTCTATGAGAAGGGTTTTAGTGAGGAAAGATATGAGGCCAGTAAAGGGCAGCGTGATTTGTCTTCAGTCCTCAGAATACACCAAGTGACAGAAGAGGACACGGGAACATATTACTGTGCGTGCTGGGATACACTCTATCAAGATGCTGCATTCTTAACAAACAAAAACCCTCTGCAGGAGGCTCACCTGCAGACACCCACGCCTCCTCTTTACACCTCCAACTAAAACTAGACCACTATTACTCAACAGAAGCAAGCCATCCAGGCTGGTCCCACCTGTGCACATAATTACCCCCCTCTTCCCACTCTCCAGAGATATATGACCACAATTACTGAGCATTCTTATGCTGTATCTGTGCTCTGAGCTTGAGCTCATCAGAAGTCCAGGCATCCAGTGCAGTGTCTCCTTCATCAAGAGCTCATAACCTTTTCTCTCCCCATCCTTTGGATATCTCTCACCAGTGTTCCTGATGGTCTCTGCTTCCCTACCTATGGAAAACTCCCTTGGAAGGGAGCCTAAGTACAGTACTCAAGAAAGATGGAAGGACCAAAGCTTTTTAAAAGAGATACACCTGGATTCCATTTCCTTCAGGATCACTCACTGAGGAGGGTAAGCAGAGATTTTCAGCTTAAAACCACAGTAACACTAAGTGCTCAGAATGCTAAGGACTTCCTGAGTCTTCTTTGGTAGTTTGCAGTGTCGTAATGAACCAATCTCAGTCTTTCACACTGTAACACCAAAACTTCAGTGAGCTATCTCAGCTCACTTGAAAACATTCCTAAACTCAAGAAATCATGTCTTGTTCTCCCAATAACATTAAAGCAAAGTTTTAAATCTTAAAGGTCAATTACGAATGGCTCAAAGAAATTATTTTTTTTCTCAACAGGATTTCATTCACAACAGAAGATTATAACATATTTCATTACACCTCTTGTTATTATAAAGTAATCAGGTCAAAACAGACTACTAGAGTATCAATTCTGGATACACATAAGACAGTGGAGACCCTCGCTCACTACTATAAAGAGTAGTGGTCCTTCTCTCCCGTGTCCATGAGATCATTCATAGTTACTCACAATATTTTCTCCCCCAAAATGGAAATGGTTTTTAAATTATGGAGTGAAAAAAGATGTCAAGGAGAGGTCTCACTGAAATGATACTTAAGGGAAACAGGGGTGGGGGGTTGGGGAAACAACTCCCAGTAGGAAAGGTATCTGGTGCTGTAGCAGTTGTCTTGATGAATGTCATCTTCTGGTACCTGGTAGTTCCTTTGCACCAGAAACATGATCAAATGACCCAGAGGCACAGCTCACTGAGCAGGACCATTAACAGCTCAGAAATAAGTCTTGCCCTCCTCCCCTGGCCCTTCGCCACAGAGCTTGGGCAGCATATTAATCCACTGTAGCTCACTTCCCGTTCACTGTCTCTGGTGCTCATTCCAGCAGCCACCGGAAATGCCAAGCCCCTGGGTTTTTCTTCTGTCTTTGGCTTGTGTTTGTAAGTTAATTTTGCTTCTTTTTCCCTTTCGTTATTTTTGTGTACTGAGCCTACTGAAAATAAAAATGATTTGAAAATCTCCGATTTGTCTTCCTTGCTTTTCAGATGGAGACTCCTGGATATCTCAAGATCAGCTGTCCTTTACCCGAAGGCCAAACAAGACGGTGCACATAAGTTGCAAGCTCTCTGGGGTCCCCTTTCAGAACACCATTGTGCACTGGTACAAACTGAAAGAAGGGGAACCCCTAAAGCGAATCTTCTATGGCTCAGCCAAAACTTACCAACAAGACAAACCCGACTCCCGCTTGGAAATCGATGAGAAGGATGACGGTACCTTTTACCTGATAATTAACAATGTTGTCACATCAGATGAAGCCACGTACTACTGTGCCTGCTGGGATCTCACAGTGTCTCAGTATCTGGAGGAACGTGTAAGAAAACCATCCTATCTCCTTGGGTGACCTCAGTTCTGAAACCACCAAGAGCCCTCAGTGGTCTCAGTCATAGGTCCACAGGTGTTGGGACTGGGTGGGTCCTGAGGACTCAGTTTGTTCAGAGATGTCAATACAAATGAGGAAGCTGGAGCCCAGAAAAGCAAATGACTTGTCCCAAGCCAGTGACCCAGAGAGGTAGCTACAGCCCTGTTTCCATCTCCCTCCACTCCCTTTCTCTGCTTTTCTTTTTTTTTCTTTTTTTTTGAACATGAAATGCTTTTTTATAGCATGTTTTACAAGGGGAGGGGGTAAGAGGGGCCAGGTGGTGGAAAAGTACAAAATCTTCTTGGCCTGTGCCTTGAAACATGTCATGGTCTATACGGTACACTGCCTTGAATTATGATCTACCTGCTGTTCTTCAGAAGATATGGTACACTGCTTGAGTTATGGTCTCCCTGCTATTCTTAAGATGATATGGTACACTGCTTTGAGTCTATCTGCAGTTGCTAAGCAGGATCTTGCAGTTGCCAAGCTTCAGAGGACATTGTGCAGGTCTTTCCCTGCTTTTCTTATGGTCACTCCTAAGATAAACCTCTTTCAGCAAGCTTGCATTTAATTCAAAGGGGCATTAGAACAAATATGCTTGGCTTATGCCATTAGAGTCCCAGTGTGGCTGTCTGACGTAACCCAAGTATGGCTCTGCCGCACAGCTGGAAGGGAGATGAGAATAGCCTACAGATGAAGCCCTCCCTTCTCATTTCCATGCTCGTCTCCCACGGCTACCAATCCATCTTCAGTCCTGCAACTTTCTCTTGGTTCTAAATGCTCTACATCAGGAAGAGCTTCTGTGGCATAAGTAGGGTGTGAGGGGAACAGAAAGTAGCTTCTTCATGAGTATATTTTATATTTATCAGTCTTTGTCAGCTCGAGACGGACCCTTGATACAAAGCTTGCATTTCCTATTCTACACTATGAAATCGTAGACTTCTCATACCTGGGGCCATGGGCTTATTACAGAGATGTAGGCTGTTTGTGTCCAACACCTGTGAATCAAAGTCGTACAGAGAATGAGAACAGCAGCATCCAGACCTGTGCAACTGTGCTCTAGGCAGACGCTTCTCTGCAGAAGTCTCAGCAGCGATCCAATCAACTGGCTCCAGTTCCAGTCTGACTCCAGTGTCCAAATATTTCTTCTCAAACCCTTGATTCTCATGCCCTCTATGGCAAAGATGCAGATGTGTTGTGAAGACAACAAGGAGGTTTTACATTTTTTTTTTAGCTTATACATATTTTGTCTCCTCTAGTGGAAAAAAACCCAAATAAATAAGGAGAATTGACTTTGTTTTTTAAAATATTCATTTCATTTTTACTTACATGTGTATGCCTGTATGTTTTCTCACTGTGTGTGTGTATGTTTCTGTGTGTGTGTGTGTGTGTGTGTGTGTACATGCGTCCATATGTGCATGTGAGCCCTGTGGTTTTTTCCTTCATGATCAGTAAGGACTACTAACCACTGATACATCTCTCCAGCCCTGACCCAACTCCTCTGAACTTTCCTATAATGTGGGATTTGAAAAATAACACGACCCTTGGAACTGTGGTTTCATCTGTTAGGAAGTCAGCCACAGCTAGACCAAAGTCTGACATGCTCAAAACTGTGGTGGCACTTAGGACAGAGTCATGAGCCAAAGCTCTGGGGATCCAGTGAGACAACTGCAAGTTTCCTCTAACCCTGGCCTCCTTATGTCTACACTGCCTGGTAACAAGCCGCCATGACAGCAATAACCACGTAAGCCTGATTCAGATGGTAAAGCATGTCTTTTTGCCATGGATATGGTGGTACAACTGTACAATTGGGGCGGGGGGAAGGGAAATCAAGAAACATATTTGTGTGGACACTCAAATTCATCAAGATCCAGTTCTTGTGGATTCTCTTCTAAGGTATTTCCTACATCTACCCACGTTCTTCTTGTCTATAATGAGCAGCAGACCACTTAAGTCCCTGAAGAGTGACAATTCATACGGCATACACCCACCATTCTAAGTAAATCATGGCATAAATTTTTGTTTCTACAGATAGCAAGCAGAACTGTCACTAGAAATTAAGGAAGTGCTAACATAATTTTTAGAAGAAACACATGAAATACCATGCACATTAATCTCCAATCTTCATAAATTTTGAAGAGTTTACAAAAATTTTTTCTCAACAATATTTTTCACTTAAATCTATTCTTTAACTGATATATGCAACCCAAATCTGAAAATATCTTGGTAGTAGTATGTGATTTTTAAAAAAATCATACAATATATTTTTTTAATTCATACAGTGTATAATATTAAAATCAAGACATACACATTTTCAACCTTTTGTTATTTCTTCATGGTATAAAACTCAAACCTCTTCTTATTTTATTAAAACACACATTATTCATTATGTGTGGCCACCCTAATGCTTGCTTGAGTCACACTACCATGGATTGGTAGCATTGCTTTTATAGCTAATATATCAGTCAGCCCTCTATTTTTTTGTTTACTGTGGCAATCCAAGTGATTTGCACAAGGCAGCACTCAGTATTGCAGATGTTCATTTCAGATGCAGGTCCTCTGATACTCACCAGGCATAAACCTAGAGCTGGCTCAACCCACACCTTCCCATTGCACCGGTATGTTGTGAAGCAATTGAATGAACAGGGTCTGCAGTCTTTAGTCTTGAACTCAAATCTCAACTCACTTTGAAACCTCCAATTCTGTGTCTCAGATGACTTCTCTTGGTCATCAAAATGTAGAGATGTAGTTGAAAGGTAAATGTATGGATGATGGTTCATGCCAGATTCCCTATGGATTTACTTCCTGTTCACTACTAAGAGCCTAGACTCCAGACTGGCCATCCTAGAACACAGAGAAAGAAAATTTTATAGCTCAGCTGAGTATAGATTTCCACAGAAATATATATCACACATTCATATTTGGTATAGACAAATATTTTGTATTTCCCAAAAAGAGCCATGGGCTCTATCTGGCATGCTTGCTTGTGAGAATTCCACATATCAAGAAGTATCTCTAACACATGAAGTGGCATGTTACATGTTCAGTATGAACAAAGGCCTCACTCACTAGATAATAAAAATGCAAAAAGAACAGTGGTAAAGTCACAAAAGGGAAGCACCAGCTGTGAGAGCAATGCTCCGTCCTCTTCTGAACAGTGCCCTTGGGTGTGTATAGGAAGAGAAGAACCAAGAATATACCCATGACCTCCTGCACAGGAACACGTCTGCTATTACATAAGTGACATAGTAAGTGGGGTTGCAAAGATAGACTCTAAGAATGTGAATGTTATTAAAAAGTATTTATCTCTTGAACATGGCAGATATTATGTTTAGTTTTCTTATGACGGTGTTATACTCATTTGTTTTCTTATTGGGAATCTCTGCAAATTACTCAAATACAAATTGTATTAAAATTGATAATTTCCAGAAAATGACCCAATGTAAAAAAAAAAAAGTTACTATTGTGTTTTAAGAAGGCAACCAAACCTTGAAGTATGGTATTGTTTTAATCAAAAAATAAATTTGTCTGAGTATTCTTAACTATGAAAGTTGTCACTTTTAAACTTGAAAAAGTAATATAAAGCTTTACAAAGTCACATTAAAACTTGAGTTTTATGATGCTTCATTTCCTCATTTACATATTTATTTATTTAGTCCTTGCTTTGAATTAGGATTAAAGTTATCTTCACCAGTCATCCTTTTTTTCCTTTTTTAAAAATTAGATATTTTCTTTATTAACATTTCAACTGTTATCCCCTTTCCTGGTTCCCCCACCGAAACCCCCAATCCCATCCGACCTCCTTTGCTTCTGTGAGGTTGTTCCCCCACCCACCCATTCATTCCCGCCTCCCCGCCCTGGGATTACCCTACACTGGGGCTTCTAATCTTCACAGGACCAAGATCCTCTCCTAAAATTGATGCTCAACTGCTCAACTAGGCCTGGATGAATGAGGAGTGTGTGTGTGTGTGTGTGTGTGTGTGTGTGTGTGTGTGTGTAATAAAAAAAGGTGAGAAGAAAAACTACTGATGTAGCAAGTCTGAAATGTTTTTCTGCTTTATTAAAATGTAAATCAGTCTGGCAAAATGACTCAGGAGATAAAGGATCTTGCTACCAAGCCTGTTAATCTGAATGATACTTAGGATCCACAGACTGACTAGAAAAACACACACACACACACACACACACACACACACACACACACACACACTAAATAAATAAATAAATAAATAAATAAATAAATGTAAAAATATTAAAATGATCTGTGCCTCAAGTTTCACATCATTGGTAAGAGAAACCATTTCTGGACACTTACTATATTTGAATGTCTATTCTCGAACCATTATTTTATATAAACCTCATTAAGTCCTGTAATGTGGATCTTATCATCTTGGATGAGGACACTTGATCCTTGAGAACTAAATGCATTCAAAGCCATATCACCAAGAATGGAAGCACTCTATCTGATGCTCTGTTTTAGGACTGAATGCTTCTTGCCCATTAATTTCAATGTTCTGAGGAAGTTGTCTGACTTTTACATGATGGCCTTCTTCAAACTCTGCTGAGCCTCTCAGCATTCATACCAGCCATTTGCTAATCCTCACTGTTGGCAGCGGTGCCTCCTACTGACTCTGACTCCTTCTATCACCTCCAAGGTTTAGAATACTCTAGGGTAGCCATGCCACTATTCTCCATAGAACCTCTAGTAACTCCTGCTTGGATTTCCTCTTAGAAACATTCATTTGAAAATACTATAAATTATAATATCCCACACTGAGTTTTTTAAATATACATTACATGGTGGTTCTCCTATTCTTCAATCTAGGGAATGCAATATGCTTCAATATATTCTTTCTAGTATATTGAAAGCATTGTCACTTTCAATTTGAACCTATCTTATATGGAGGTTAGATTTTTCTAAATGTTTCTAATTGATAATTGTTGGCTAATAGTTGACATATAGTCAATGATTTTACTTTAACTCTGAAATGCTGTATTGCCTACATAATTGTTCAAAGGGACTTCACTGTCACACTTACAGAGCTGAGGATGTCTTTGAACGCCTGATGCTCCTGCCTCTACTTTCTGGCAGATAGGATTATAAGCTTGAGCCATTGCCCCTGGTTTCTGTTATTCTTTCTTCCTACCCTTCCCCTAACCTCAATTTCTTTTCTCCATTTTCACTATTCTCACTTTTAGTTTCAGGCCATCTTTTCCATGTCACTTCTTCCAATGAAGAAAAAGAAACAGGCTAGATTAGTCTTTGTGAAAATGACTTATTTCACTTAAAATGATTATCTCCAATCCTGTCTCTTTCTTATAAATCATATAACATGGAATTTTTTGGCTGATGTGTATATACACCAATTTTTCCCTTATCAATTCATCTTGTTGATCCCATAAATTCATGATTTTGACTCATCTTGCAATGAACACAAATGTGCAGATATCTCCATAGTAAGCTGATTTTGATTCTTTGGGAGTATTAATACAGAAATAGACTGGTTGGATAATGTTGACATTTTACTTTATTTTTTGAGGAACTCTTGGGCTGACTTTCAAAGTGGCTATACTGTTCCATAATGGCTCCTTACAATCACCCCTACAATCCTTTTTGTATTTGTTGATTCTGTTGACAGAAACTATTTTCACTAGCAGGGGATGCAATTTTCATTTCTGCTTCTCTGGTAGCTGAAGATGTTGAGCACATTTTCAACTATTTATTGTCCATTTTGACTTTATCATTTTAGAAATGTCTGCATTTCATTGACCATTTTGGATTAGACTGGGGAGTGTGTGTTTTGTCCCAGTCCCACGGGGCATTGAACTGGGTTCCCGAGGACCTGGAAGAGAGAACTGGAGGACAAGGGGCACAAAGAACAGGCAGCTTGCCTATAGTCTGATCAAACTGCCGATTTTAATTTTTCACACAGGGGTTATATACACATAGAGGCAGGATGTGAGGAAGGCGATGACTCAGGAGCGTAGGTGTTCTCAGGGGGAGTACAGATATCTTCTAGAACAAAGTTTTGGCTGGATGAAGAAGCAGGGAACAGGTCATTTATGACTCTGTCTATGATTTATTTGTTCTTATCTAAGCTGGTACTTTTTACCAAGGGTATCTATCCATAAGGTCTATGACTATCTGTTCTTTCCAGGCTGGTAATTTTCCACTAAGGCTGCCTGTCTGTAGCTATCTGTTCTAGGGCCAGTGTTTTTCCACAGAGACCAAGACTTAGTGTTAGCAGGCATGTATGGTTAACTTGGGCCTAAGGCTGATTTAGGCCTTCAGTGTATAAGCAAGGCTGCTCCGGAGAGTGTTTCTAATATTCAACTTTTGAATTCTTTATATAACCTAGACAATAATCTTTTGTCAGATAAGTATTGACAGAGACTTCCTCCCATTTGAAAGGCTGCCTCTTCACTGTTGATTGTTATTCCTCTAATAAGCCTTTTAATTAATCTTATGCAATCCCATCAATCCAAACTTGCTTTTGTTCCTTGATCTATGTGCCATTTAAACAACATTTATTCTGCTTATCTTCAAACAAAGTCTTTCTATCTTGTCTTCTTTAATTGTCTTTTTTAATTTCTTTCTTGACTGGTTTCACAATTTTCACTATAGTTTCATCTATCGTTAATATATTGATCATCTATCTATTGTTTGGCCATTTCTATGAAATTACTATTTCATGATTCTTACATCAGTATTATATTATGTCATTAGCCTAATGTCTTTTTAGTGTTATTTTTAATTAATTAGTTCATTTTTACAGTACTTGGAATGAACCAGAGTCATATGTTAGTGTTATAGCATGAAGCCATAGTTACAGCTCTCTCTTTGTCTTTAATTTTTGAGACAGGGTCTAACTACATTGCCCAGACTCACTAAGAACCTACTCTATCCTAGGCTGGCTTTAAATTTGTAATATTCCAGCCTGAGCCTCCTAATTAACTAAGATTATGGCCAACAGTCCTAGCTGAGACTTTTTGTTATTTAATGGTCATGAATCCTCACATAGTGCCCTTATTTATCCAAATTCTAGAATTCTCATCTAAGAAAGAAAAAGACATATTACTCTCGGAGCTCAGACTGAAACTGTAGCTAGTGTAGATATGAACTTATAAAATACTGACTTCCTGATAATTGTAGATTTTCTCTATAATTGTGTTTCTCCATGAAGTCAGATTTTAGTGGACAATTAATAAACTTGATACTGTGTTTCCACAAAATTCTTATATTTTTCTGTTTTCTTTTTGTTTATTTTGAGATTGTATTTTAATTAAATTTCACCCATCTCTTTCTTTCCTTCAAACTCTCTCATATACTCCTCTCTGCTCTTTTTCAAATTTATGGTCTCTTTTATCATTAATTGTTATTACATTCATTGTATGTACATATATATTTATAAACGTAACCTGTTCAGTCTATACAATATTACTTGTATATATCTTTTCAGGAATTTGGATTTGGACAGTCAATTGATATGCATGGGAAGGACCATCTTTCTCACTCCCAGATTTACACAGTTTTCTGTATTTCTTTGTGTAGGGTTGAGACCTTGTGGGCTTTTCCCTTTTCAGTTTAGTCTGTTCATTGAGTTGATTCTGGCTCAGCTCACATGTGGGCAGTCATGTTGGTAAGACCTTATGAATTTATCTTCTGATGTTACTAGGAGAAATATTATCACAGTAAATGCACTGACCATTTGGGTCCAATCTTTCTGCCCTCTCTTCCATAATGTTACTTGAGCTATAAGTGTGGGGGCATTTTATAGATGTAATGTTTGAAATTGTGTTCCACAATTGTACATTTTGATTGATTGTGGTTTTCTGTAATTTTTTCCAGGTGTTGCCAAAGAGAAGTTCCCTTGATGAGGAGTGAAGACTACACTTATCTGTGGTTATAAGGACAAATGTTTAAAGATTGTTGTTAGGAATTATGTTGGTGTAATACATTAGTAGTTGAAGACTCTGTTCAAACAACCATGACCCCACTAACCCTAAAGTAGTCATGTAGGTTTCCATACCAGGCATGGTATGCTTCTTGTTGAGGGATCTTAAGTCCCATAAGAGAGCTGTTCGTTACTGCCAAGATACATATGCCACTATTTTTTAAATGCAATGAAACATTTTATATCTCATTAAAATTTACATTTATTCTATGTATGTATATGTGTGAATGTGTACATGTCATAGCAAGCAACAGAGATAGGAATGGAACTGACTCTCTCTTTCCACCATGTGGGTTTCAAAAATCAAACTAGAGTCACCAAATTTGGCAGTAAGTTCCTTTACCTACTGAGCTATTTTGCTTCAGTTACTCTTTTGCATTTTAAATTAGTTTATAATTCTATAAATATAGACAAGTCTTAAGACTTCTAATAATTCTACTCCTGGTCTTGAAACAAGGGATAAGAGTGGAAACCAGAAACTGAGAACATATCATGCCTGTGTAAAGTACGAAGGGTAAGCAAATTGTCAGTTAAAATGCTATTTTTAATTAGCCAATCAATAAGTTAATCAATAAAATTTTACAACACATTATAGATATGGTTTTTACCTAATCTTCTTTATTCTAATAAGCCATGACAGATTACAGTTTTCATTGACGTGGCTAAAATAATGTTTCTTGATGCCAACTAATAATGGCAGCTTTTAGAACTTATAGAATTTTGGGTCACACTTTTCTAATAGTGGCATGTTTTTATTTTTAATTAGTATAGAGCTTCCTCTTTTCAGAAATATTTTCCCTCTTATTAAGAAGAAACATTGGTGCTGGTGAGAACAAAAAAACACATTCCTTTGATGTAAACACTGAACAGTTTCAACACAACTGAACTCCTGGAAAATAAAAACAAAGCAATTCTTAGAATATTTTTTCTAGTTACTTGGAAAAAAAAAAACAGTTGGTGGACCAGTTAGCCCAACTCTCTTATTTTCCAACTGAACCCTTTCTATTTTTCTGTTGGTGCTTTTCATTATCACTACCTCCAGGGAGAAGAACGTACGAGTTTATTTTGTGAAGAAGCTTGCAAGGTATTAGATACCACACAGTTTATATGCAGTGAATTTCTTAGGAATCCAGAAGATGAGTTTATCAGAACAAATTTTACCCTATTTTTCATGACATGAATATGTGGAGAAGGTTCAGATTTTTGTAGAAGCTGTGAGCACTGTGATAGCTCGGGCTGGAGCAAGGTATTTGCAGAAGGAACTAAACTCATAGTAATTCCCTCTGGTAAGTAACTTTTTTCTGCTTTATTCCAGTGATGAGAAGTACATATACAGTTGTATAAAAAACAGAAATCTACTATTACCTACTGTATCTGACTACAATATTCTTAGCCTGAGTCATTTTTCAGGATATATTACTGGATATGACAACAAAAACCTACTTTGTAAATGGCTTCTTTTCTCCCTACAGAAAACACTGGAGCTCTGTGTTTAGAATATTCACATATGCAAAGAATAAATGAGAGTTATTTTGAGGAGCATAGACTATTGGGGTAAAATTTTGCTTCAAGATACTGTTGTAAAAGGAATTTCAAGTGTGAGTCCTCAAAAATGGAGTTTTGACGATGGCACTTGTATGTATTTTGAAACACAAGTTAGCACTACATTCTCCAGAAAAACTGTGAAATCCTTATTATTAATTTTGATCATAATTCATAGCAAATTACCATAGAACATGAGTAAATCTGTGTCTTATTTGCTTTATAGGGTAGATTGTGACCGGTCACAATTTATGTCACACTGAGTCTTGAAATATTATCTGGAGATTTCTCAGAATTTGTAGTTTACACAAACTGCCTCTGTCTAGAGTCCTTGAAAAAGACTATGAATTTATATCTTCATTTGACCATTATTACGCTCAATTTCTTTAATTTTACTTTTTATTAGAACACCTTCATTGTCTAATTCTTAGTAGGTATACCTAAATATGTGGTTACTGCTTTTATTTCTTTATGAAACAGAAATCTCAATTAAGTCTAAATTGCATTTTAGGCTAAGAATTGATCTATAAATGATAATCATTTAAAGGAGTAAATGCAGAAACTTCTGGAAAATCCTGAAAAAAGTAAAATAAGACTTCTCAACCCATTTGAATATGACCCAAGTTTCAAGGCATCAAAGTGTGTTCTGTCCCTAAATTCATGATTATACTTAGACATGATGTGACTTTGAGTTTTCTCTCAATTTAATATCAACGGAGCCAATTTTATATATTCATATAAATAGTAAGAAAATATTGTTGGGTTTTTTACATGTTTGCAAGATAGTTTCACATGTTGTGGATTATATGCTAATTCATCCAAGTGCTTGACCTTGGCACAAAGCTTATGTCCACAGGACATTTCTTTATATTCTGCAGACTAAAGCACGGAGAGAGGCTGGAGGGCAGGTGCCATAAGCTTCAGTCTCAGCATCTTTGAAATTGTTCCTGGTTTGACCATGATATCCTGAGAGGTCTGGATACATGGCTATAATTAAGGAGTCTGTGCTTATTTTTATTCTGGTGTGGGAGACACAAGCAAGGAGCGTAGAGTAATTGGAGATCCTTCAGTGATAGAGGTACCAAATTTTATGTTTGGAGTAAAATAAAACATAATTCAGCACCTTGATAATGAAGCATAGCAATTTTCAAATGTGATTATTTTTCCATTGTAAAATTAAAGGAGTATATGGGGAGGTGACTTGGTGGATAAAGTACTTGCTACACAAGTATGATGATCCAGGTTTGAATCCTCAGTCAGTCTAAAGTAGTGCAGAGCAGTGCCCACATGTGCTTCTAAGGTAAGTTGGAATACTGAGTCAGGGAAAGCTCTAAAATGTCATAGTTCTACTACACTGGAATACGGAATGATAAATAGCAGGAGATCTTGTCTGAAACAAAGAGTAATTGAGGACCTGAGCAAGGCTGTCCTCTGACTGCCACAGGACTATGAGATGTGTGTTCCTGAATCCACACACAGGAACTTGCAGGTTCCCTATACACAAACCATATACATACACAGAGAGAGCAAAAGAAATTGGAGAAAAGATTTCAAAGCATATATTCTTTGTAAGGAAAGTAGATATTAAGTGGACATTATTTCTAACATGTATTTTGAAAAATGCAAAGAATTGGCCATAAAACAAGCTCACCTCTCTACCACTAAATCATAACACTTGATTTCACATGCACATTGGGATTCTTAGCCTATAAGGTCAGTCAAATAACACTGTCCTGAGATGTCTTTGAGGACTAACCTTGTGATATTTCTTCATTAGGTTTTTATGAAAGAGTCAAGCCAGTAGCTGCAGGATAGTTTGGTGTGAGCTAATTGAAGCCATATTGTACCAGAACTTTCAGTAAAGGATCCAATCACATGCATTGCACTGCCGACTGGGAGCACAACCACTGTTTTGAACTGCATAAGTAAAGTGTTCCATGCACTGATACACACTCTGGGTTTAACTATATCTCCTTTTGCTATCCTAGAGCAGCAGGCTTCTTGTGATGGTAGATTCGGGAACCCAGGTGTACTATTGCAAAGTAGACTGTAGCTGGTGGGTGGAGGAATACAATTTCTCTCTTTATTTGACCTAGATTTAATTGCAATCCACACCTTCTAATTCTATGATTAATAGGAAAGCTTTTACCCATGGAATGACAATGTTTCGTTCAAGCACAGGTCATAGGAAAATAAGTTGCTGTTGTTAGCAGCCATGTTGGTAACAGTAAGAACCTCTGCATTTTTATTCCTTTTAATTAGTTTTCTCATCTTTCATTTTGGTTTCAGTGATGTGCTGGGGTTGAATTGGTTTACAATAAAAGATATGTTTATGAAAAATAAAGCAGCTAACAGAACTTATTATGAATCAGTTAGATCAGGAGCAAAGTGCTATTCTTATGTGAATTCCAGACCATTATGTCCCTCGAATCTGAAGAATCAGGGACACTAGACTAAGATAGTAATTTTGATATGATTTGAATCACTGTGATGTTCCTTCATCTTTGGTTTAAAAACAAAATGGATCATCATAGGTAGATACTGAAGGAATATATTTTCAAGGTAATTGGGGAAGGCAAAACTGGCCATAGTGAGATGGGGGTGATAATGTTTAGAAAGCAGAGGGCTGTGAGCAGGACTTCCTGAAGGACTTTCTAGGAGATTGCAATTACAAGTGCTGATGCTGAGAACACTGTGCAAACATTCTAGCAATGTTTGCAGACATCTGGACTTTCATTAAACATTCATATGTAATGTATGGAAGGTCATTATTAAAGCATTTGACATTGGTGTGGGATTTATTGTTAAAGTCAAGGTGGTGATAGACTCACTAGACAGACACCTTCCTATTTCTTCTGATCAAGTGTGCTGTGAAAAAGTCTGGGCTTTGAACTCAGACGTGGAACTCTGGCTTCTCCACTTACTCCTAGAGAACATGGGCGACTTTATGCTCAGAGCCTAATAAGTAAGACAGATGAGACATGAGAACAACAAGATTGTGTGAGAACCAAAGGTGATGTGGTGAATAAAGCAATGGGCACATTGTCCAAACCACAGCACACACATGGAAGGATAATTCCTTTACATAAATGACTAAATACAGTTACAACGAAAAAATCCAAGCTACTTACTAACATCTACTTCACTGAGATAAAAGAAATGCAGAGCTCATTGTAGAATCAACTAAATGAACAGTGGGCTGCACTAAATGGCATAGCCAGAGAACAAAGTAGCAAAGGGAGGATAGGGAAGCATGTTAGAAATGATATGAAAGCTTCTTCTGTACATTGACCATAAAAGCAACTTGGTATCCTCGCCTTCCTATCTATCCATCCAGCATGAATTATGCTTCACCATGAGAAGATAAAGATATGTGAAGAAATAAATTGTTTTTAACAATTCGATATTTGTGTTTATATACTATTATTTTGAGTCACTGGTTTTAGTGATGTGTGTCTGACTTAGTCTGTAATCCTAGCACTTGGGAGGCAGATGCAGGAAGATCAGAAACTCAGGCCATCCACAGGTACATTACAAGTTTGATTCTGCATCAAACTACATGAGACTGTATCTCAATAATTACTATCATTATTATCTCTATTAACGTCCCACTTTCTCTTACAGACAAAAACTTTGAGGCAGACATTTCCCCCAAGCCCACCATTTTTCTTCCTTCTGCTGCTGAAACAAATCTTCATAATTCTGGGACATACCTTTGTCTCCTTGAAAAGTTCTTCCCTGATGTCATTAGGGTGTACTGGAAAGAAAAGGATGGTGATACTATCCTGGACTCCCAGGAAGGGGATACGCTGAAGACTAATGACACATATATGAAGTTTAGCTGGCTTACTGTGCCTGAAAGGTCAATGGATAAAGATCATAGATGTATCATCAAACATGAAAAAAACAAAGGAGGAGTGGATCAAGAGATTTTCTTTCCTTCAATAAAGAAAGGTATGTGCATATATTTTTTGAAATACAGCTTTCTAGAAAAATGTGTTTGAAAATACCCAGTCCTTTTCTACAATGTATCAATAAAAATGAATGTCACATTTAATGGGGCCAATGCAATTATTTTATCTTGTATTTATTTTACCATAGTTCTAGGCTGGCAGAGGCTTTGGGAGAAAAGGTGAAATATTTTGCTGAAACTTTCTAAGCTGTAGTGCCATTATCCAAAATAAATACATGATAAATTATAAACTTGAGGTTCTATCTTTGTTCTGCCAAGCAAACAGTCTTTTCTTCGTATTGTGTACAAAGTTTAACCTCCAAAAACTGATTCCTTAGAAACTAATGCCTTAGTCAACCAAATTTTCAAATGAGAGAGTTAAAGCCTGTTACAAAAAAGGAGTGGATCTAGCAGCCTTGACTTTTTCAGATTTTTATTGCTTATGTATCACTGTCAGAATATTGAAGTTAAAGATGGAGTGAGGATATGGGTTGCAAGCATGTCACTGTCTGTAATTAATTCATCTCTTGCCATTACCGCATTTTGGAAAGCTCTTTCTTTGCTACCTCATTTAGGGCTGATTAGGGATGTGTGGGTGTAGATCAGGATTAGTCAGTGTCCCAACATGGAGTGGTTGTACAATGAAAATGCATACTCTTTCCAAATTACTCGGAATAATTCAGATGCAAGATCCTAAGGGATCTCCTTGATTCAGTGAGGTACACAGGTGCACCATCAAGCAGAGGGCTGAAGATGCAGAGAGCCTCTCAGTCTTGTATTTCATTGTATTCCACAACTACTGGTAATGAGCAATTAGTCTGAAGGCTCCAGAGACCTTCTGAAACTACAAGGAATGAACAGATGTGAAACCTGTGAGCTGTTTGCTGCTCACTCTCTGGGTTTCTCCTGTGAAATCCCTAGTCTCTTTAATGGTCAGTAAACTTTGAATAGTTGCTCTGAGAGGTTCCTTGGTTTGGAAAGATGTGGCTGCTCTTCTATGAAGATTGCTTTAGACAGTCTATTATATCTTTTAGGATAAAAAAAGGAAAAACTACTCTTTTTGAATTTCCACTTATCTGTATACAGAACATTACTTGTGAATGACATGTACTGAGTTACATATCATGATACTAAGTTCTGTAATTATACATATTTATTTAACTATGGGACTCATGTTTTAATACACTTCTGTCTACATGAAGACATCTATGTATTCATTTATATGTAGATGTATTCATATTCACAAACACACAGAGAACTATCAAATACTGTGCATATTAACAAATTTTTATTGCCATTTATTTTAGTTGCTGTGAGTACCAAGCCTACAACTTGCTGGCAAGATGAAAATGGTAGGTTTTAGTATATATTTGTCTTTGTGTCACATTACAGTACTTTTCCTTTTGAGCATAACACTATTTGAACTGCCATGAATTAATTTAAAAATATCTGAAAGTCTGGGTATTACAGAAGAGACAGTGATATTTACAACTAGCATGTCACTACACAGACGTCACAACAACACAGTGAACTAACAATTTAAGTGTAAGTGACTTTAGTGAGGGGCACAATGGTATAACCTAACCTATATTAACAAAAAACTTTATTCACTCATATATCTCTTAATTTTAATCACCGAAGAAAGCATGATAAAAGATAAGCCTAGGTTTTTAAAGTCATCCATTTACTCACTAGTTATGGGCACTGATGGGTTTAGACGAGCTGCTTTCCAAATTCGATCTCCCTATACGTGGTTCTTCTGTGAATGGTGAGTATTGAGTTTCAGGTTTGAATGAGGAGAGCTGTTACTCAATGTAGTAATCAGAAATTAATACCTATTACTCCCTCCTTGGTAACGTGCTATGCCATCAAAAAAGCATATGGAGCTAATTAAAGAACTTTGTTTTTTTAGATATGCTGCAGCTCCAGTTCACAAGCACCTCTGCTTACTACACCTACCTCCTTCTGCTCCTCAAGAATGCGATCTACTTGGCCATCATCAGCTTCTTCCTGCTTAGAAGAACAGCTGTCTGTGGCAATAAGAAAAGGTCCTAAGGAAATGAATATGTTTGACTGTATTCTAGACTGGCCTCAAACTCTGTGTTGGAAGATGACCTTGACTGTCTGGTTTTCTTGTTTCTTGCCCCAAGTCCTGAAATTCTGGCCATGAACCACCTGATTTGATTTGATGCTGACCAAGAACCCAGGGATGCCTGCATGCTAGGTACACTGAGCTATAGCACTAGGCCTGTTGTTGAAGTCTCACACTGCCACCGAAGCTAGCCTACTGCTCCCTGTATAGCTCCCTGTATAGGGTGGTACAACAAGCCACCTGGTTTTCATCCATACTGTCATAAATGTACCTTATGGGAGTCTAGCTGCCTTCTCTTGTTGGCTTTGACTTCTGTAAAGTCACATGCATATCATCCTGTTATTGCATAAACATATTTTGAACTTTTGTAAGCAATTTCAGCAACTTCTCTATAACTGGGCTCACTTCCTTCCTGATTCCATCCTCTCCAGCAGTCCTCTTGCCCAGAAGTCTGAAGCATCAAAGCTCTAGTACACACAGGCTACAGCTTTTACCCATAGCCCTTGTTGATTTTGAGCTAACTTTCTGAAAGCCTACACTCTAGACAACCTGAAGAGCCTTACCTACTGTTTGATTCTGTGCCTTGTATTTCATATTAGGGACAATAAATTTTTTAAAATTAGAAGTCTTCTTTTGTCAATCTTTACTTTTATTTAGTAACGCTGAAAGCTGTGCTATGAAACAACATGACAATTATCATGGCATTTGGTGACAGTAACAAGAGTCTAAAAACACATTCCTAAGCTTGGTTCAGAGTCTGTAATAATGACATTTCTTAGGACAGTGGGTGTAGGAGGAACCACAAGCAATTGAAATCTCCATATCTGCTTTAAAAGGCTACCAGATTTTGAGTTCGTTTGTTTTTAGACATTTTTGAGGCAGTGAACAAATGTGTAGCGTGACTCATGCTCTCTGTGCTCAGCTCTGTGCCTGTATTTCACAGCAGTATGCTTTCTGATCCTCAGACTGTGCCCTGAATGCTACCAGAACTCTAGGGAGAAAAAGTTGATAAGGAGACCTCAGGTACTAAACTCCATGCAGCATAGCTTCCTCTGTAAGATGAAGTTATAATATTCTAGCTCCTAGAATTGTGTATATTTAATGAATTAGTAACAGCAAGTGCAAAAAAGCCCTTGAGAGTCCTGTTATAGGCCCCTGACTCTACCTTATAGAAAATAGATAATACACACACACACACACACACACACACACACACACACACACACACACA